GATTACGTCTTACCATCAGGCGGGCCGTAAGCATATTTGCCAGTCTAATTCTATAAAAAAATATTGAAACAAACGTAAGTAAAATTATTTAATAAAAATATAAAAACTCTTATCGTACCTTATACAAAACATTTATGAGGCATTTTGTATTACTTATTGTAGGCATTTTTATATAATATACCCTACATACGGGCGTCCTTACCGTAATGTTAGTATATTTATATCCTTATATATACAGAACTCAAAAAAGTTCAAGTCTCCATTGAATTTGATGCTGTTTTTGCCATGTACATTTACGCAGTACTTTTTACAATTTCGACGACCTCTGTAGTCCAGCGGTTAAGCACACAGCCTTATTTATGACGGCCGTGGGTTCGATTCCTCGCACGGTGCAAACATTTGTAACCATTGGTATGATTGTTATGTTACTTTGGATGTTTTCAGTATATGTTATGTATGTAATTATAAAAAAAAAATTAGTATTTGTATCAGTTGTCTTGGTACACACAACACAAGCTCTGCTTCCTTTGGAAATAGATGGCGCTGTGTGGATTGTACAAGATTATTTGCATCGTGATAGTGATAGAAATAGTCATAACTATGTTCACCATATGAATATAGTATGCACTATTATCACAAAGTATTTTTTTTTATATAGATTTATAAATCCATACATTCTATTAATATTATAAACGCGAAAGTTTGTGAGAACATAGTGTAAGTATGAAACCTTACAGTAATATAGCTTATGCATCAGAATAACACATAGACTATATTTTATATTGAAATATTAACGCGGGTGAATCCGCGAGCACAGCTAGTACATATAGAAAACAACCAGACCAATTCAATCCGGCGCCCCCGGGCGCCCCTCCGATCGATCCCCCGTCCAATTCAAACGGGGATCGAAATTACGACGGCCTGAGCCGAGGTTCGAACCCCTAGTGGTACCCTCAGACTAAAGTCGTATCCGTCAGGCAGGAGTTGGCCTTCAGCCGCTCCATAAGTCCTTCCGCGGGTTTGGAGTGCCATCTGCACTCGCCCCATAACGTCCGGTGAAGCTGTAAAGGCCAGCTACGGCCAACAGCATTAGAGTAGTCCGAAAAAAAAAAAACCAATTCAAACAATCATACTCATGAAATGTTTACCGTGAGAAGAAACGAACCTGCAAGCATCGGAAGAATCTAACCCATCGAGGCCTATATTATTTGTACTGATAAAGAATTAGATATCAAGTTTTATTCTTTATCACATATCATCAACGCACGTAAATATAATTTAAGATGTAACGGAATACTATCTTCACTAATCATTTCCACTTCACATCAGCTATGATATCAATGATTCAGATATCCTATGGCCCTATCTCGTGCCATATTACTGCTGGAGTGTATGCGCTCTTCCCGCGGCAGTATCACTCGACTCTCGTACGACATTTTCATTTTATCTCGACGTCTTTATACTGTCGATAACTCGTATCTATGAGAAGTGCGGGTGACGTGAGCCCCTCGCTGCGTTCAATACCAGTAATTTGACAGACTCACACCATTTGCATTTCGGATTGTTTCCCGTTTTGTACACCATTTGCGTTTTATGCGGCGCGCTCGGCTTACTTAGGGTTAAGACTTTCTTCGGATCCCCCTAATTTGCTAGTTAAAATTTCACATCTCGAGTCTTTGATCGATAAATGATTCTTTATAGTTACATTCGCAGCTTCATTTATAACTGCAACATTTTCAGAAGCAATAATATTAAGGAGCATTATTAATTTGTCTCTTCCGTACTCGTTTACTGAGAATTTTACCCGTCAATTAGAATAAACTTCAATATTTCCTTGACTGTCTGTATGAACATTGATGACGAATTGCATAGAATTGGTTCCTACTCCAATGCCAGCGATCAAATCGATTGGTACCTCCAGTCCCGTGGTGATACCGTTTACCCGTGATGTTAATCTAGGCGTTGGTGCTGATGATACACTGCTTAGAAGCAGGATAGCTATCGCTATAGGTATTATGCCATAGCATGCCCTAAAAGAAAACTTAAAATATTACTATTTATACAATTGTGTTAATTAATATTGTAAAAGGTCTAAAAGTCTACGTTTCCATAAAGAAATTGTACTCAGTTGAGTGCCTTGGGAGATACCTATCTATGGACTGCAATCCAATAATTGTATTGGATGGGCTGATGATAATGATGATTAATAAATATTAATTTTAACTCATTTTAGTATATTTAATTGTGCGTTTGTAGGTGATAGTGCTTGGTTATATGGAATACTACAATATTACTACTTATACAAAGTTAAAACAAAAACGAAAATGCTTATATAGAGCTAAAACTTTCTAGTTTTGTGTAGAATTATTACGGTTTATTTTCTTCTTAATATTTCTTTACAGTTGAATTCTAATTTACTCACATGGATACTGCCCGGAGGCACAGATGCGCGTCCTATCTCTCAGTGAGAACACTCGCACTCGAATGAACTAATCGTAATAGCAGATTCCAAGCGTCTCGCCGATCAGATAAGCAACTCATATCTACCGATCTTGTACTTGAAGGCATATTGATCTTTAAGCAACGTACTATAAAGTTTCAATTCGTTAATAGCACTCCTTTATAAAAGTAAATAGTTTTATAGAAAAAATAGATATGGGAAACTCGATAAAGGTTTGAGAGAATGTGACATGTTTCGCAATTTCCGTTAGTTGTCCTTTGTTGAAATTCCAATCTTTTTGTGATTCACGAATTCTTTTTGTTTCTCCTATATTTTATTACTCTTTCCTGTTTATATGAAGATTTTAGTTGGTACCTTGTTCTATGTTATGAGTACAATGATCTATGTTATGAGTATATGAGTATAATGATGGCTGGCTCATACGTCATACTCGTGAACGGGTGCTGTGGGGACTGGTCTGTTCAGGTTGTGAACACTGATTAAATTTTTTGTTCTTTGCGATAGCATAAGCTGGTGGTCACTCTATTCTCCCAAATTTGAATTTTAATAACTGTATTTATCATAAACATGTTCCACTATTATTTGAAAAAAATACGAGCTGTGTTTCTTGTCAGTTCTTCTCATCTCGATATCATTCCGAACTGACGGTAGATTTGACATATCATAAGAGTCTGTAATAGACCTACATGAATAAGATATTTTGAATTTGAATTTGAATTTGTTGTACTATTTTACTTAATCGTTTAATTGTCTATAAGGCTCTAATTGTCCAAACACCCACATACAATCGTACCGTAATTTAAATATTCCATTCGCTTACTTTTTGATGAACCGTCTCTATTTGCAGTCTATAGTTGAATTATATATAACTACGAATTGTCCAGGCAAAGGTTTTATTGCCATATAACTTAACATCGTTATTAAAAATAGGGGTTGGTGATAGAACGGTGAAAATTTAAGGTTCATTATTTCGACAAAAAATATTAGTATTTTTTAAAGTAACATAATAAAAATAAAACAATGTTTTTTAGAATAATTTTTAATTTTGTTTTGGATGAGCCAAAACACTCAGGGATATAAAACGAAGTTATAAACCTATTCTCAGACTTACTGAATATACATATAAAATTTCATCAAAATCGTCCTAACCGGATATTCGGATTATAAACACGAAACCGTGTGACACGAGAATCTTATGTATTACATAGAAAATAAACTCATAATTCTTGACTATAATTAAGAGAGCGCATAGACTCATTTATCTTTGCAATAATTCTCATTTGTCTGTTTACATCCACCGCCATCGCCATCGGGAGGTCTTTAATAACATTATCATTGTAAATATCTTGTTTAAATATATATATATATATATAAACATATAGTGGCCTATGCGTCTATTATGGACGATTTATGGCGATTTATGGATTAATGGTCATTGAACAGCTTTTTTCGTGGCTATATAAACCGTTGTTTTATTGTTTAAATAAATGTAAACAATTGTGTCAAACTATATACTTCTAATTATTAACATGGTATTATATTCAGAAATATACTAAACGCTACTCAAAGTAATGAATACGATTATCATTCCCATACATATACATATATTTAGGACTAGCTGTAGCCGCGACATCGTCCGAGTGGAATTTAACTTTATTTTTCTAAAATAAATATAGTCTAAGTCACTCCTTATTACCTTAGCTACCTGCCAAAAAAAGTCCTATCAAAATCGGTCCAGCCATTTCAGAAATTAGCCGGAATAAACAGATAGACAGACAGACAAAAAATGTAATAAATGATATTTTGGCGTATGTACCGTATTTATTTTCATTCTCCATTCATATGCATGTAGTAAATACGGTTATTTCAATATTACAAACAGACACTTCAATTTTATTTATATGTATAGATGTAAAATGAGTGTAGATTCTTCTACTTTGGAAAAATAAGGGATCAGATCCCTATTTTCGTTGGCGAATGTAGTACTTATAAACAACTTGATTGACGAGCGTGCATGGCAATAGTTGATCATGCACGGGATTTTCATTCAATGTTAGACATAGACACCTATATAAATATATTATGTGAATAAACTGGCTTTAAGAAAAAAGTAATTCAATTGAGTTTCTTGCCAGTTCTTCTCAATAGGATTTATATACTGAACTGGACGATAGGGACAAAATTATAATATAAAAAATTCGGTTTCATAAGCCACTAAAATGTCCAACATGAATAAAATGATTTTTAAATTTGAATTTGAACAACTTCAAGTCTCACGTGCTAGGAAAGAATAAGTAACAACTTAATATAAAAAAATTGGTTTCATAAGCGACTAAAATGTCCTACATGAATAAAATAATTTTTTAATTACAATTTGAACAACTTCAAGGCTCACGTGCTAGGAAAGAATAAGTTACAATTTGCGTTAATAGTTTTGGCCCTCTTACACCTTTTATTATACCATTCAATTTTAAAATACCACTAGTTGATGATGATTCACGAATTATATTAATAACAGAATGTTTTCTTTTCAGATTATATGGACTCGCTATGCAAGGACCATTTCTTGCAGCGACAGTATAGGAAAGTGGATGGCGGCGTGCTATGGTCACGTAATGAGCGTAACCTGGACTGCACGGTGACGTTCCAAACACACAGCATCCTGCAGAGGTTCATGCTGCACTTCGACCTGTTGCAGCTGGACTGCAATGATCACTTGTATGTGTACGATGGTGCGCACGCTACAGGCCCCCCTAAGGTAAAAATTTCTTTTATCTAAAGTTTCACTTTTGGCGGCGTGGTGGGCCGGTTCGATTCTCCCTCTAATAAGGTTGAGTGTAATGATGGCTGGCTCATCCGACATACTCGTGAACGGGTGCTACTTGTGGGGGCTGGTCTGTTCAGGTTACGAACACTGATTAGACTTTTTGTTTTTGCAATAGCATATGCTGGTGGTCACTCTATTCTCCCAAATTTGAATTTAAATGAATCTGTATTACTTTAAACATATACCACATTTACTTAAAAAGAATACGAGCGGAGTTTCTTATCAGTTCTTCTCATCTCGAAATCATTCCTAACTACAATCAGACCTACAAGAATAAAGAAATTTGGAAATTGAATTTGAAAAAAAGTCTGCGTGGGTACCTCAGTCTCACCTATTACAGCCGCCAAGCAGATTGTTTGCGTAAGCTGTTTGTCTGTTGTATCGTGCAAATTAGACATTGAAGTTACTTTCTTACGATAGAGGTTACGCACACATTTTATTCCATTAATAAAAAAAATATTTATAGAAAATTATGACACTATGTTATCAATTAGGTTGGTTGGAAGAAGCATTCCTGGTGTTTACGACCCACAGTTTTAAGGAATCGACAAAGAAAAAGAAGAAGAATGTTCCGATTTTAAAATAGAATTAGGTATAAACTAAATTACGAAAATGGGTGCAAGATGCAAGCATAAAGGTTGCTGATAATCGCTTCTATCCATCGACTTTAATAGACATTACATTAAAATCTTTCTCTATCCTTTACATTCCACAATCATGTGTTCTTTAAGCATGACTTTTATGTTCCTTAACGATATGTTCATACTAAGGAAACGATTACCTTGCATCTTTTCTTTGAGTGTCACTATTACCAAACCACTTCTTTTGAAGATATTAGTGTTTAATAGCATTTTCTTTTATTGTTGTTAGACACACTTGTAGACGATCTATCTAACTGAAGTAGCTATCGTCATTAAGTGTTTATTGCTCCATGGATATTGCTAATGTTGTCAGCTCTTTAAGATTTAATACACGAGTTTATTTTATAGTAAAACCCAGGCCAATTCCCACAATGCCGTCTAGTTCCAAGCTAAGCAGAGCTTGTGTTATGGGTACTGTGCTAATACTAATGAAATACTTGTGTACATTTTTTTTGGAAAAAAATAAAAGACATCCTGACCGATAAAAACAATAATGTTCATGAATATAAAAGTTTGCATCGTGCGAGAAATCGTATCCGAGACTATAGGAAGTAAAGCAGTATGCTAAACCGCTATATCACAGAGGCCGCCATTTTGTACTTCTATTACAGCGTATAGGAAAAGCCTCAGCTCATTTCACGACACCAAATGTACGAAGAATGAACGATCGAGATGCAAAAACAATGTTGGTGTGGCATGCTTTTGAACAGTGTCAATGAACTTCGCTTCTTTGGCAAGAGGTGCGGGCCACATGATATTTTATACATATATGTATATATAATATATTTTACCTAATTGACGCTTGGAACGTAATACAGTTAAACAGAGTCATATTTTTCTCGCATTAATTCTCCAATTGCCATTCAACCCAAGGTAGAATTACATAAAGTGGTCCCAGAGATCTCCTCTTAAATTAATAACCGTAAATGAGGAAAAATAAATAATATCTTTACCGTAATTGCCTTCGGTTTTCCTGTATTTCATTTTACGGTTCAACGTCCAGAGATTTAATATATCTACAGTTTTTCCTTGTATCGAACAGACAACAAAAACATCATTATACTTCTCTTCTTTCACATATATTTCGACAATCTCATTATGACATATCGATTTGTAAAGTTTGATAGATTAGCATTGATCCTAATTATTTTTCGGCTCGAAGGACCATAAAGATCTATGAGTTTGCTTTGACCCTACAATCTGGATGCTATGATGTTGTAAAAATGATAAATTGCGGACTGCTATTAACTTGATTTATTGAGTACATGATGCTTAAGTGTGGACTGAATGCTTCGTTGTGTGCAATTTATCCTTGGTTGTGTGCAACGAATCCTTGGTTGTGTGCAATTAATCCTTGGATGAATTGAATGAAAAATCTTATGTCTGGACATTATGTGAATGCGGAGTGGTGAAAAAACGCTGAAGGCTAACGGTGACGTACCGTAGATAGGTTTCAAACCAAAATACCGAATATGACTACCATTATTGCATTCAAACATATCTTAGGGATAATATTGAAGTTCACTATGTCAGCACATTTTAGTAAGAATGAACTTCTCAATAGAATTGAATGTTATATCTGCACTACATAACACATCGTGCCAAACAATAACATGTTCCAGTCAATAAATCATATTAGATATGCTACAATGAATACGCCTCTGGTACATACCAATATGGTGTAATTTGGAGACATTCCAACTGGTGACCGGTGTCAGCAATTATCTCGCCAATTCACTATTATTCCGTCTGCCGATCGCTTGTCTCCGTTATTAAAGATGCCTTCGCTAATGAGACTCGCTGGAATGCCATCTCGATCCATTATTGATAATTCCGATTTATAAGGCGTGCGACAATTCATTGGATTTCATCTTAGATGCTGGATTCTGCATCGTGTTGATTGAGATCGAGCTATTTGAATTCCAGGTTAAAATTTGACTCAACTCATTATATTAGATGCAATCCGTAGTTATTCTTGCACAAATTAGAATAAGGCATAGTATATTTTTTTTCGAACTATACTAATGCTGTTAGCTGCAGTTGTTTATAACTTCACTGAACGATAACACTCCAATCCGAGAAAAGAACCTATGAAGCGGCTGAAGGCCAATTCCTACCTACTACATACGACTTTAGTCTGAGCGCACTGAGAGGTGTTCGAACCTCGGCTCAGCGTCAATCGTAATTTTGATCTCCGTTTGTATTGAACGGGGGATCGATAGGAGGAGGGTCTTATAATAGACATAGATAGAATACTATATTTTAATTATTTAAGGAATTATCCTTCAAGGAAAGAATTATTATCAAGAACAGAATTAACATAAAAATACCACCAATTTCGGAGCATTTTTGGAATGATAGAGACATTCACAGCCAAAGTCGAGCGATATAACTAGTTCAATAGTAGCAAAGAAATCCGACTCTAAATTGGTAATAAGGAAAGAAGATAAGGAGAATAAGAATAAAACACAGATTTTAATAAGATTTATGCCTGAATAATTGTAAGACTTCCAATGCGAAGCTTCGGATAATACCAGTCTGTTTATTTGTGTTTTATTGAACTAAATACTACTAAAACATAACAATAAAACATCCAGTAAACAGTTGCGCCACGTAATTTCCTGAGTTTCACGTAGTTGTTTGCAAAGTTATATTAAGTACAGATGTTATCTACGGCTTTTTACTTTATTGCTTAAATCCAAGTAAGTACTTCGGATATGTTGGTTTATGTTGGCAATAGTTTATTTAAACTGAGGCAAACAGTTAAACGAAACTATCACGAGCTCGCTTAATCGTAGCAGCGGTTAAAATTAATTTTCCGAATAGTAATTTAGGTATACTTTGCACTAGTATATACCCATTTGAAGTTCCTGTGTTATTTATGTATTTTCCATTGTAATCATTCTATTATACGTTTTTAAATAGTACATTCAACCTTGCGGTAATAACTGATGATAATCAGTGTTTTGCTCCTTGAGTGATTCTCGATAACGACCCATTTTTTATTGCTGTGCCACACACATAAACACACATATAGCTTTAGATTAATTCTATTATATATGCAATAGCATTGGTCTAAATATTTTGTTCATTACACAATATTTAGACTGCTTGTAATTGAACCTATATGTACTAAAAACACTAATATTTTTTTATCTATCTATCTATTTACTATTCCGCACGACCTCACGTTATTATACTATTGTATTGTATACTATTGTATATGTTTGTTTATTTGTCAATCAGATACAAATACGAAGGTTTTCCGCTTTATAATTTTTTCTCGACGAACTTTCTCTCCATGTCTTTAGCCATACAGGCTATACGCCAATGAGATGTTCTTTGCCATCTCAATTTCCCAAAAATGAAGGAAACTGGAATAAATATATGCATATTTGCATGTATTTTCCAACTGTCTCTCGTATCATAGAATAATATAAATGTTGACAAAGTAATTTCGTAATTTATATTCTGTTGTGTCGTCCTGAAGGAGTAAGTGCTTAGTACATTGTGTATATGAATTATTATTGTCATTAATTATTAATAATGAAATTCTTGATGGCATATAATTTATGTGATTCGCTGTGAGAATGTTAATCAGTGCTATAGACAGACGTCAGGTGTTGCGAATCTTCGAAATAATTAACACGCGAATGAAGACACAACTTTGAGAATTTTAAATTCAAATTCAGCAAGTTTTGGACAAACGGCGCTCGAACAAAGACCTTCTGGAACTTTGTTGTGATCGCTTTGTGAACCGAATTGAGTTTCTTGATGGACTCTCGTCTGTTTTCTTTTATGGCTTTTATTTTATTCCAAATTAGTTGTGCATCAGACTTTTTCTGCATTCACACTTTGAAATTTACTAGCAATCAGATTTAGTTCGTCGTATGCTAATAGTACTATTACATACTAATAGGTTTAAAATGTAATTATTACACTATCTGTTAATTTACATTTTGGTATATTTATTATCAACTAAACTTATTCTTAACACACTATAATAGAAAAATCCTTATTTATATAAGTTTAATTTTAAGCACTTTTAAATAGTACATTTTTTATTTCGCCATCTCATTTGAAATGCTGATTAACTATTTTTATAGACATAGATATTTATTTTATTTACATCAACAGATACAAATATTTAGATTTTGCAATACAGTATAAATTACAAAATAAAACATTTAAACAAAAGTTATAAAATAAACAATATTTCAAGTAATATTATTATTTTAGTAAAATAAATATATTATAGCAACTAAAGACTAATTAGGACCCGTTGATGAT